GCTGTATTCTTTCTCCTCTATCTTGTCTAAAATTTTGAGAGCATCTGATTGGTTCAAACTCTCATCACTTAGTGATGATGTTCCCTCAACTTGTAAGCTTTGCTGGCCAAACTGGCTTCCCTTGGGTCAGGTCTCTTACCAAGGTCAACCAGTTGGGACCGGGGAAAACAAAATGCAGAGTAAGAATCTCCTAGGGCCATTTCCCTTCCTAAAGGTCTGAGGGCCCTAACATGGGCTGTGGGTATGTCACACATTGGGAAGGTTGGTCTGTTAGGTATGTTTAGCTGTTCTCTGACCCTTAAATCTATGTGAAGTTCTTTGATACAAAAAGACATCAAGGACAAATTAGGCATTTATTCAACTCTTTCGGGGGATGAGTTGGAAACTTTTACTGAAAAGCTTTGGGAATGTTTCCCTTTCAGTATTTGCTATAGGTAAGTCTTGTGGCCAAATTTAGAAAAGCCATAAGCTATGTATTATTATGGAAAATCATCTTATTTGCATGCACCAGATTGTAGGGCCCGTATTTTATGCAGAAGGGCTCTTTGCATAGTCCCCTTCACTAAGTCATAAATGATGAAAGCATGTTGGTAATTTTACCAAAAAAGGTAAAAAAAAAAACCAAAACAAAAAACCCACCTCAAGTAATCAAGTTTTCTCCAGATGATCAGACTGGCCCTCCAGGTTTTCTTTTAATAACTGATCTAGGGGCATTTGGGTGGCCCAGTAGGTTAAGCATCCGACTATTGGTTTCAGCTCAGGTCATGATCTTAGAGTCATGAGATGGAGCCCTGTGTCAGGCTCCTTGCTCAGTGCTCTGCTTGAGAATCCATCTCTCCCTCTCCCTCTGCCCCTCCCCCTGCTGGTGGGAGTACTTGCACTGTGCTCTTTCTCTAATAAGTAAATGAATAAAATCTTAATGACTGGTCTGATTTCACTATACTAAGCTGAACTGAAAAACGGGAAAGTTCAGTCCAAATCAAAAGCTTAACTAACCTCTGGGAAAGCATGAGTTTGTTACTTAAAAACCCTTAATGATGCCAGAATTCACTGAACATTCCCGAATCGTTTTACCTCTAAACACCAAGATTAAATTTGTACTTCACCCAAAACCTTGCAGAACTCACTCACATGGTACCAGTATTGCCACCATTACTTGATCTTATGCTACCAACTAACCGATTCAATTAAAAAAAAAAACAAACAAAAAACTAAATACTACCTTGAAGTCTAAATCACAAACTTGGGCTACCAAAATATAATTAAAACCAAAATTTAATGTGTATTTCTCAAGTTGTTTAATGTGACTGATTCGTTGTTGGTAACAAAGAGATACTTACAGAGACGGTATTTACCTGCTGAATCGTTTCCTTTTATTGGCCGTATTCTTCCATCCTGGTTTTAAGAGAAGTTCTCTTAAAAGGACAAAAATTCTGCAACTCTGACCCGGGTCTAGTTTTCATATTATTTTATTAAAGAAGTGTGCCCTTGCCTCAAAATGTGCCTCTGAACAAAGAACTGAGTAAAAGAAGGATCATCCAGAGTGTTTACAATGAAAATCATGCATTATCTAACAAAGTTGGGAGTACTGGAGGGTTTTGGACATTCTAAAAGTATTTGTAAGGATTTTACTTTTTTGATAAGGCCATTTATCTCAAAACGATAGCTGAAGATTATGGTTAACTCTTTAATAAAACAGACGTTTGCTTACAGTGATATGAAATAAGAAAACTGAAGTTTTAAAATCATTAAGTGTCTCACAAAGAAATTTTTCCCTCATGGCTTTAAGGGGAAAAAAATTAATACACTTAGTTTAAGTGCCATTGATAGGGCTGTGATTAAATACTTTCAAACTGCACTTGAAGATGCAGTATTACTAACTCAACTGAGTTAATAACGTTTTATCTGGTAAATCTCCTTCATCTTCTGGAATTTAAATTATCTTGGTAAAAGTAGTCAACCCTCACAACTATGCCATTACAAATAATCTATAAATTGGGGGTATAAATTCTATAGGAATTTATTATGCCTTTCAAACTAAATGTTCAATGGAGTGTTTGATGATTTCTAAGTAGATAAAAGCGTTATTTTCCCCAAGTCTCTCGACTTTATAAAAATAAGTGAAATCCAGAAGTGCCCGTGCATATTTTCATATCCTCACTTATACTCCTAAGAAAAGAAACCTGGCTGAGTCCTGCTGGGTGAGACCTAAGAATGTTACAAAGAGAAACCTTTCTACTTCCAGGGTTCTTTAAAATATCCCACTTCAATGTAATTACCAGTGTTCACAGTTTAATTTAGAAGTAAAGAGATGAAGCATTAAGTATCTGCAGCCGAGTTTACTTACCAGATACCAGCAGATGTCAGCAAAAACTAAGGCAGCGCCACAAGGCATCGGCCAAGGACCTTAAGCTATTTCTTTCCGGGTACCCGCAATGTAAACAGAAAATCTCCAATTACCTGCACAGTCCGTTTAAGACCCCCCCAAACACATCGTTCCCTGGCCCAGGATGGGTGGGGAGGAGAGGCCACAGTGGATCCATCTGCCTTTTCAGCACAGCAACAGCTCTTTCAAAGAACGGAGCTGCCCAGATTTTGTCCAACGAAACTCACCTACAACGCGTTATGTAACAAACACACTTCAGACAGCCATTCCCATTAGAAAAAAACAAACTTTTTGTGTGTTTGTTTACAGAACACTCATATTACCTGGGCTCTGCAATATGTGTTTAGGGATTAGGAACATGGAATATTTGAGAGGACATTAATGAATTTTTCTGGAGAATGTTCTGTCAGGTGGTAGAACAGCTTGTTATAAACAAGTAGATATAACATTTTAAAAATAGAAGAATTTCAAGTGTAATATTTTTTTTTTTCCCCCAAAGATTTTATTTCTTTGACAGAGAGAGACACAGTAAGACAGGGAACACAAGCAGGGGGACTGGGAGAGAAGAAGTAGGCTTCCTGCTAAGCAGGGACCCTGTTGCAGGGCTCGATCCCAGGACCCCAGGATCATGAGCCAAAGGCAGATACTTAATGATTTGAGCCACCCAGACGTCCCTCAAGTATAATATTTCAAAGATAACTATTTTCTTATACTTGTAAAAGAAACAGGAATAGAATCACATGGGATGCCATTTACTTCAAATATATACATGCATTTTTACTTTAACATTTGTGGCCAATACTGTGTAATACTAATCTTTATGGTCTTACATTAACTTCTCCAGCAGGATCTATATACAGCAGAAGTGTTTGTATCACTTTATTTCTGCTTGTTAGACTAATAGTATCCAAAAATATTTTAGCCACCTGGAACTATACTTAGGCAAAATATAAAAAGAATCTAGACGATTTAGTTGTATTCTGCATGTCTGTAATTCTGTATTAAAAAATAGTAAGTGAACTCATGATGTAATTTTTCCAAAACACAGCTTTTATTATAGCGTACCCTAAATTAGACATACCTCTCTCTGTAAACATTGTGCATGCTCATGAAAAGTCCGGTTTCCTAAATAGGTATAATGAACAAATAAAAACAAAACTGTTCAAGAAATTTACCCTTGAAACTTAAAGTTAACTATTACCATCTTTGAAAAGTAATGCAGAAATGTTCCACTAAGGAATGCTGAAATAGAAACAATTCGAATTTTAAAGTCATTTATTCTTTTGAAAATATATTCCTGTTTTAAACAACAAAAAACCCAAGATTTAAATTTGTCCCTTATGAATAGCTTAAGCAATATACTAAATCATACTTACTTAGAACCAACAAAACACTGGCAGTAATGCAACTAATGTCTAATGAACCCAGAAGTTCATTAGAGACAAGCTTCTCTAATTTTATTCTAAAGATAAAATTAGAAGTCTGTGTATCCACTCTAACAAAATTTTTCCTTAATTCAGAAAAAAAAAATCTAGCATCTGATTTAAGTATATAAAGCCAAAATATTCTTTTTGCCAGTGCTCTTTTGAAATGTGAATTGATACTAACAATACTTCTGATAACTAGGCCAGTGACAACTGTAACTTAATTACAATTTCATGGTTCAAAATGGCATTCCATCAAAGTAAACAGATACCAGAAGTATACAGGAGTAAAAATAAACCTCTACTAGTCAATTTAATCAAACTGGTCGTATAAATTTCGTTTCAATGGCTAGTAGGTATTTCAAACTGCTAAAAGTTCATCTGATTAAACCAAAGTACTCTAATATAAGGAAAACCAAGCAAAAACCTAATTTAGTGGCAATGTCCTAGATGGTAAGATTTTAGACAGATAGCTAACTGCTTAAAAAAAGTTATCACCCACTCTCATCTTCCAAACAGCACCCATACAAATCCCATAAAAACTAGTACATTAAGATTCAATTTTCAAATAATTTATATTCTCTCTCAACCAGTGTTTCTCTAACTTTTTTCCCCTCATTATTACTCCCTTAAAGCTTTCTGGCCTTTTAATCCTAATTACCACCCCATAAAACTTTAATGCCATCAATACAATGTATCCCTATTTATGTATTATATGTATATCCATGCTATCCGTGCTTTATACAAAGAATGAGATTTTTCCATCAAGAACAAACTTTTACCAAGAACGTATGGTCTAAACAATGAAAGGTTTACAATACTAAGGCTTTTTTTTTAAAGGGTAAATTGTGAGATAAATTTTAGCATTTAGATATGTAGATTATTTCCAAAATACTTTCAATCAACCACCTAGTTTTATCAGAATTAATTTTTCCTGTAGTAGGTGGACACTGTTCTCAGCTACAGTCCTTAGCTTGAATAATAGTGCAGGACCATAAAAAACAGCCATTCAAAGCAATTTTAACAATCAATGGGGGAAAATATTCTGTGACCTTTAAAAAAACTGTCAAGATATTAAAAACGCACTCAGTTATAAACAAAAAAACCATGAAAACACTGTAAAAAAGTATGTTAGCATACTGTAATTTAAAACATCAGAAATATTGAGAAAGTATTATTTCACTGTAAAAAACTAATCAAAAGGGGTTTGAACAATACTTGCCTTTTTGTTAACTTAGGATACTAAGTAAGCATCTATTCTATGCCATTGCGAACTGTCATATTCAAGTTTGGATCAGTTTCCACCATTTTATCATTTGTACTTTCAATGTTGCAAAATAACTAATCTCCTTTAATGTGAAGTTTTTACCATCAATTCCTCTGGGACCTATTCAACCTTCTCGTCACAACCAATTTCCTTATTACATGAAGCTTGTCTCCATGAGGTCCCCTCAGCTGCATACTGAGACTCAAAATTCCCATCAGTGATTTCTTCCGTAACTCCACTTACCATTCAGTTCAAATCTCACATCTAGCATTACCATTTTTCATTTCTTCACTCATTTTTATCTTTGTTGGCCAGTTCTTTTGATGATCTACTTTTGTAAAATGTCACATGGGTGATAAGAGGACAACACAACCACATACTTCGCTGTGAGTGCACTGAATGACAGATGTGCAGTAACCAATCACCAGCAGAATTTGAGAGAAGTACTGTGATTGGTCAGTGATGATGAAGCACGTCTGTTACATAATGATCCTTGGACCAAAGGGCTATCAGGGAAGTCTGTACTTCACCTAACTGCTCACAGTACAGACCGTGCTAACTGAAATTTGAGCTGTGCTAATGGAGGACGGTCTTTGCCTCCTTGTTAACATTGACCCAGACAGGCTTAAAGAGGACTGCTGAGGAATAGCCCATCTAAATTTCCATCAGATAATGAATCTTAAAGCACCCTAAATGCAACTTTAGTGCCCAGTGAATGTATGTTGAGGTGGTTTTCAAATTCTCTGTCATTTGGCAATCAACTTTAAAATTTATCTTAGGATGATAGAATTTTAGAAATAGAGAAGGCATCTTTAAAGAGCCCATAATTTGATACCACAAATTATCCAGCATGTTTGTTATGAATGATTTCTCCTCCTTCGATTTCGATTTGCTCATACAGCCACTTGCGGTCACAACGGCATTCAGCTCCACATTTGGTGGAACCACAGGCAGGACAAGCATAGAAACATCCTAAACAGTCTTCATCGAGGCAGTCACAAAGGTCCATTCCACTGAAAATTAGGAGACCCTGGCTATCATAGACCTTACTCTTCGCTGGTATCACTTGTCTGTAAAATAAAACACAAGATGAATTATAACTCGCAAACACATTATTTTTTAATATGTTTTTGAAAATAAGGTAATGAAAACAAATTTAAGGTGTAATATTTTGAATTAGAGATGATGTCCTGCAAAACTAGTACATAACTTACCAGACTCAAGCTTACTCTATAATTAGTAGTAAATGAACTCTGTTGTGAGAAGAGACCTCATTCTAAAGTGTGGAGACAAATCCAAGAAGCCTGAATATGCCTCTACAAGTCCATTTAAAAGTCAACTCAGTCCATTCCTTTACCATTTCCAAAAAATATATTTGTTTGAAGTATTTTCCCCTTACCTTAACAGCAACAACAGAGAACGACAGCTTAATAGTGGGACATTCTGTTGGTTACCAATCTCTTCCTATGACCCTACTTGTTTTTATACTGCAATTAATCTGTTTCTTGTTCTTTAATAGACTCTAGCAAATATGGCTTAAAAACAATGAAATGACTCAGTGGAAAACCTTAACAGATGGAATAAATGGCATATGTAGAAAATAATTCTGAATGATTGTACTAACATTTCTTTGTCAACCTGTGCTTCAGAAATGTTCAATTTAAAAAGTCATATTCTAAACAATTTAGTTTTCTCAATCATTCTGTTGACTGTACCATAACTGTTTCTATTTTAGACATGTAAAAAATAAAAAGCAACCTTGAATTCTTCTAAGATTGACTTTTTGGCTGCCACCCATAGAGAAGTGATATACTAATTACATAATACCAATACTTTTAAAAAACTGTTTTAGGTGTAATATGTTTAAATTTGAATTCTCATGCCAAAAATGTTAACTTGTTCACTTCATTGACTCTTTCTTAGAAATAAATTTTTAGATTTGAAAGGGATGCCTTGATTTTTATGTAGTCCTTGGAGAGTATTACTAATCCCAGATCATCTAATTTAAAACATCTACCCAGAAAATTCAAAACTTAAAATAGTGAAGCAATACAACTTCACTTGAAGCAGCAAGTTAATAGGTCTTCAGTGAACACAGAGCTTACCTGTCAGAACCAGCAGTTGCATTTTTTGTGAGCCTTCTTTTTTCTCTTTTACCAGTTTCTGGAGCAAATTCAGTTTGCTTTCCTGGGTTTGCAAACTGCAATGACCTCAAAGCTTTTGCAGTTCTTCCCTGAATGAAGGTAAACAAATTATCAACTCAAATCTTGACCATCTACCATGAAGAGATTAATATTTAACTTAATGTTAATCCAGATTATTCCTTAACCTGAAGGACGGTCTGGAATTCACAAAAAAATAAGAAAAAGGTTTTAGAGCCCAAGTACAACCTTTATACAGCCCTAGACTGAAGTTTACGGGTTAATTTAGTTGTAATATTTTCATTACCTGATTTTAGTCTCTGGCATATCGGGGGGGGCAACAGGCATGGTAAAAACTGCAATGGCTGTTGCTGAGATGGGAGAAAACATAGAAAAACTGCTTTATAACCCATTGGCATAACACTGAGGTTCCTGGGGTACCTGGCAGTGGAGTATATGTATGACTCATGATCTTTGGGTGCTGAGTTCAAGCCCCATGTTGGGTCTGGAAGTTACTTAAAAAATATTAAAGCTTTTAAAAAGCAAAACAAAAACAAAACTGAGGTTCCTAATATCTTGAGTTCTTAAGGAAAGGTTCTACTTTATATATTTTTAATTTTTTTAATTTAATTTTTTAATTTTTATTTTATATATTTTTAAAAGCAGAAAGGTAATACGGTTTCAAGTCCTGAAATAGTATTATCATCTTTTTAAAAAGCTTTGGTAAAACAAAATTTTGATGGTTAAGGATTTAACCATCATTATTATAATGAATTCTATATATATCATAAATAATATATAAATAATATTTATATATAATATTCTATAATATTATACATATATACATATATATAATGAATTAATGATTCATTATTTGGGGAAAAAAACAGTTTATGTGATATATTCCACAAGAGCAACAAATAAATGAAATGGACAAAACTCTAAAGTGACAGCAGCAAGAACCTAGTATGAACTGCAAGAGAACACTGGGTCCTAGAGATATATGCCTCTGAGGGGAGAACAAAAGGGTAGCACTACATATAATTTAAAATTTTAATTATCTTTTAATTTGGCTTATTACTATAATGAAAAGGAGGAAATTGAGAAAAATATCCCAGCAGCAAGAATTATAAATTGGTTTTAAGTAGAAATTTTGAGAAGTGCTCCTTTGATATACTTGTCTTTGTTCTACACCAAAGATAGCTTTATGAAATCTCAGTTTTTTCCTCATATAGTTAAATAATCTGGACGTAGGCATGTGAAAAAGGGAGTTATAAATATTTAGTATTTACAGTGTAAAAATGTATGCTTTTTGACCATAGGGAGTTCTTAAGTTAGCAAGTAAGAACTCAGAGCTAGAAGCAATGGAAACTCACAAGCATCTAAAAAACCCAAACAAGAATGGTATTAGTGCCAAAGGAGAAAGAAAGGTTGAAGAAACAATTATTGCAAATCACTTCTCTGGTGTTTATTTTAAAGCAGTCATTTTTAAGTCCTTCATATAAAAGGAGAATTCATTTTGCTATACAGATCCTCACTGGCTGGCAGGTCTCACTGAGTTACTCTGGTATTAGAAAAGAACCTAAGATAACAATTAAGTCCTGGCTTTACCAGAATGTTCTAAAAGCCACCCCCAACATCTTAGCCCTAGGAGTTACAGCTGGAGTCTTGGACATAATATGCTATTCCATTCTCTTCCATTCTTAAGCTTATTTTATCATCCAGTCTGGGTATACAGAAATATTTAGAAACACCATTTATTTTCACCTCCCCAGCTTTAATTCATAATTAGTATAATAAATAATAACATAAATAGGATTTCTTTACAATTCGACAAAACCGCACACTGTAAAACAGCAGGAAGAAAATGAATGCTATACATACATCCGAATCAGGTTTTCTTCTCTGCCGGTCTTCAGAATCAACATCCACACTTCCATTGATTATCTGTGTACATTTTGGACAAAGCTTCCAACCAGGTACAAGCTGCCTTCCAAATTTTGCACTCAGAAAAGTGGCATCATCTAAGTCAATTACATGCAAATTTTTTTTGGCTAGTTTTTTGTGTATGTTAAATGGGTCACAACATGACTTCTGCAAATCCTCAAATCTGTCAATGTAAATTTTTGCATGATGGAAGCAAATGGTATTGTTCCCAGAAAGTGTCATTCCAGTTCTAAGTTGAAGTAAAAGCATATCATTTGATGACAATTCTTGCAAAGTCTTGAAACCAGTGTGACGAGTGTAGTAGGTTTTATGGCACTCATTTGTGGTACGAAGCTGAACTCCAACTGAACATGGATCCATCACTCTGGATTCCAGCAAATTTCCCTTGATCTCTCTCTAGTAGGTCATGTGCTGATTGCCCTAGAGAAAACACTGAAGTCAGATTTGTGCTGCGAAATTTTTATCTGGGAAACTGAAAAAGCATTTGATAAAATTCTACACCTATTTAAAAGAAAGAAACTCTTAGCATGCGAGGAATAGAAAGACATTCACCAAAAGCTTACAGTAAACATTATTTAATCATAAAACATTAGAAGCATTCCCTCTAAAGTTAGAACTCCAAAAGAATACCTGCTATTTAACACTGTATTAAAGCTTCCACTGAACACTGTATTAACAGGGATTGAGAAGAAGTAGTACTACTCAAAGATGATATAAATATCTACACAGAAAATACAAAAGGTTCAACAGACGAACTATTAAAACTAGTTAGATAATTCAACAATGATGCTGGAAACCTAAAACATTAAGAGACCTCACAAAATCAATCCTACAAAAGACATGCAAGACTTTTATGGAGAAAATCATCGAACAGAAATACAAAAAGGATCTCCTAAATAAATGTAGAAATTAATCATGGGAAATCTTACTGAGGCGTATAAACTCCCTGGGAATTTATCTGTAAATTCAATACTATTCCAGTCAAATCCCAGCAGGTATTCCACCCACTCCCCTTTGGAATTTAGCATTTGGTTTATATGGATGAGTAAAAATCCAGTCAAGATAGTCTTGAAGGAAAACAAAGTCGGGTATTTATTTGCCATAAAGCTGTTATAATTAAAAGTGTGGTGTTTAGTATAACAGTAGTATAGACAAATGCAGAATAGTATAGATGAATAGATCCATAAAAAGATGAGGGCTTGGTGTAGTATATGACATGTGATTTTATAAAATCAGTGGGTACTGTGCATTAATGGGGAAAAGACTGAATGAAATACTAGGGGGTAAGCAGCTAAGCACATGGAAAAAGACAGACTAAGATCTCTTTCTCACAAAAATCAACTCCAGATGGATTAAAGAATTAAACAAGAAAAGAAAAACTGTACTAATGTTTCTAAGAAAACATAGAAGACTTTGCAACATTGGGATAGAGAATGTCTCAAACAAGAAAGCACATACCAAAGGAAAAGATGGATACATTTGATTATATGCCAAAATTAAACATTTCCTTATAACTCTAAAGGAGGAAAAACAGTCCCAGTCACACTTGAAAGGTATGGTTGGGATTATTATCCTGAATATACATAAAAAATTCTGACATTTACAGATCAATTAGAAAATGACAAAGAACCCATTAGAAAACTAAGCAAACAGAGGCACCTGGGTGGCTCAGTTAAGGTCTGCCTTCTGCTCAGGACATGATCCCAAGATCCTGGGATCCAGCCTCGCTTTGGGCTACCTCTCAGCAGGTAGTCTGCTTTTCCCTCTCCCTCTGCACCCTCCCGCCTAGCTCATGATTCTCTCCTTCTCTCTCTCTCAAATAAATAAATAAAATCTTAAAAAAAAAATCTAAGCAAATACAGATACTCAATTCACAGAGGAAGAGAACAAAATAGCCAATAAATGCATGCAAAGATGTTCAACCTTTATAGTTATAAAAAAAAAAGGTGCAAACTGAATACCATTTCTCAAACACTTGCTGAGCAAAATTTTAAAAATCTGATAACCTAGTGCTGGTTAAAATGTGGCAAACTCTTACATGCTCCTTATACATTGACAGGAATATAAACTGTAACTGCTTCAGAGTCTTTTTGGCAATTTCTCACAAAATTAAACAAGTCCACATTCCAGGATCTTGCACTTTCTGGTCTAGATGTCTGCCAAAAAAATAAATGTCCCAAAAGAGCACAAGGACTTTTGTGTATTTATTGTCTTTGAGCATTGTGCATTTACATTTGAGCATTTACCATCTTTGACAGTGAAAAGTTGGAAATTACCTAATTTTAAGGACGAGAAACCATAGGTTACTCAACACTCCTATAGGACAGTTAACCACAGGAATTATAAGAATCACCATGGATAAATCTTAAAGATAATCTTAAGTGAAAAAGTTGTAAAAGAATACATTTATGTAAAATTTTAAACACACAAAATAGCATACATGGTTTATAGATGAAAATAAGAATCATGCTAAAATATACTTGAGTAATAACAATTTTGTGGTATACATATTTCTTTCTTTTTTATTTTAAAGATTTTATTTATTTATTTGACAGACAGAGATCACAAGTAGGCTGAGAGGCAAGCAGAGAGAGAGAGAGGGAAGCAGGCTCCCTGCTGAGCAGAGAGCCCAATGTGGGGCTCGATCCCAGGACCCCGGGACCATGACCTGAGCCGAAGGCGGAGGCTCAACCCACTGAGCCACCCAGGCGCCCCAACTTAGTTGAATTCTTAAGGAAAAAGTCACAAATACAAGTCAGTAGGGAAAAAAGTATTGAAAATATATGTGAACCACTGAAATCTGGGTGGTGGCAAGTGTTGAAATAGCTAGGATTCTGCTATTTTGCAAGTGTTTTTCTAAACTTTGCTCCATATTAAAAAAAAAAAATGGTTAGAAAGCTTAGATACTTCCCAGTGTTTTGTTCAGAAAAAAAAAACAAAAAACCAAAAAACCCCAGAATCATATAAAACCACATACAAAGATGACTCCAGTCTCATGTAATAAAAAATAGTGAATACATATATATCTGTTCTCAGTTAAAATACTATATTTAAAAAGTTAAAAAATAGAATACAATCTAAAGTTCAAAATGTTACTGAACATTTTTAACTTAAAATGTTTAAAAGCTAATTAAAATGGAGCATATTTATGTATTTTTATTCTATTTCAACCAACTTTTAAAATTTAACTTCCCAGTAATGGTGTCTAGTGCATCAGATAAAATAGCTTGTATTATACAAATAATTAAATTTCTTTTAACAGAAATGTGGGTTAAAATAAATGAAGGAATAGAAAAGAGGAAGCCAGAGATACAGTTATAAAACAACAAACTATGCTCTACTGTACTAGAACAGACACGGGACAGAAATCTGGCTCTGACCTTAACAATCAACACAAGGAAAGAAACTTGATTAACAACCTCCTTAGCACATTATGGAAACTCCTAATGTTTTCTCTCTCATTGATGCTTGATTCCTTACATTTGTAATAACTATCACCAATTTATAGCCACTGATCTGTGATTTTCTGAACATAAAATTATTTCTAAGCATCCAAAGACTTGGACTACCCTGACCATATTTAATAGGAAAAGCATCTAGGAACTTAGAAATTTGTTTTAGAAATTCTGTTTGTCCATAGAATTAATATATTTTTACCCATTAGGGAATTCTTTTCCTTGGCTACTGGGAAATCTGTTCCTTTAGTTTCCTTTTATCTTTTTTTTTTTTCCCCTTCATTCTCAACTTATTTTGAGGCAGGCATTACCTTGATACAAGACCAATGACATTCTAAAACAGGAAATAAATAAGTAAATAAATAAATAAAAATTAAAAAGACCAAAATTCCTTGTGAACATAGGCAAAAAGTTCATAAAAACAATTTAGTACACAGAATCCACAACTATGTATAAAAAAGTCACAACCTTCAAAAGTGTCACTAAATTGGGCACCTGGGTGGCTCAGTGGGTTAAAGCCTCTGCTTTCGGTTCAGGTCATGATTTCAGGGTCCTGGGATAGAGCCTGCATGGGGCTCTCTGCTCAGCAGGGATCCTGCTTCCCCCCCCCCCCGCCCCTCTGCCTACTTGTGATCTCTGTCAAATAAATAAATAAAATCTTAAAAAAAAAGTGTCACTAAATTAAGAAATACTTAGGAATAATTTTAACAAAACATGGAACATCTGTACACTAAAATCTACAAAATTTGTTAATATTTTAAAAGACCAAAATAAATGGTGAGAAAAACCATACCCCAAGACACAAAACTGGTTGACTGTTCTCCTCATGTTAATTTATAGATTCAATGCAATCATAATCATAAATTAATAAGCTTCACCTAAAATTTACACAGAAATACAAAGGCCTTCCTACAACCAAAACAACCATAAAAAAGAATAAAGCTAGAAGGCCTTCCAGTCCAATCAGAATGAACTTACTCTAATCAGGATGGTATGGAATTATCTTTTTTTAAAAGATTTTATTTATTTATTTGACACAGAGAGAGAGAGACAGGGACAGAGGAAACACAAGCAGAAGAAACAGGAGAGGGAGAAGCAGGCTTCCTGATAACAGGGAGCCCAATGTGGGACTTGATCCCAGGGTCCTGGGATCATGACCTGAGCCGAAGGCAGACACTTGTTGACTGGTGCCCCGGTATGGAATCATCTTAAAGACAGATATATACATATCAGTGGGATCAAATATAAACCCAAGAGATATATCCCCATTTATATGTACAAGTGATTTCTGGTAAAGGTATAAAGCCAATCCTATGGGAAAAGTCAGGTTTTTCAACAAGTGGTTTTGAAATAAATGGATATCCATATGAGAAAAATGAACATTGACCAGTACCCTACACTATAGATGAAAATCAAGATAGTTCATAATCTTCAACACTAAAGCTAAACTAAAGACTTATGGAGAAAGCATTGGAGACCATATTTATGATGCTGTGTAGACAAAGATGTCTCAGGAAACAGAAAGCAATTACCATACAGAAAAAATGATAATTAGGTTTCATTAAGACTACTTTTATTCAATGGAAGTCAAAATTTCAAATATTAATAGCAAAGCCGTATATTGAGAGAAAATACGCAAACAGTATTTATCAGCCAAATCCTTGCATCCAGATTAAAAAAACTGCAACTCAACAATAAAAAGACAAACCATTAACATTGGCAAAAGACTTAAGTAGACATTTCAAAAAGCAAGATATATAGACAATAGACAGCACATGAAAAACATCTGACAGCCATTAAAAAGAAAATCTTGCCATTTGCAATGACACGAATGGAGCTCGAGTATATCATGCTAAGTGAAATTAACTCACTCAGAGAAAACAAATACCATAGGATTTCACTCATGAACTATGGGAAGGGGGAAAAGGA